AGGCTTGCTAAAATCTGTTGCCTGAAGCTTGCATGTAAAAATGCACACGCGCACAAAGGTACAGAGCGACTGCTGCCCACTGTGAGCCCTGTCATTTAGAAATATTGGCCAGATAAATAATAAAAGAGAAAAAGTGTAACAATATAATAATCCCTGCGTTCGCTATAGTGCCTTATCACGTCATTGAGAAGTCTCAAAGCTCTTCGCAGAATATAATAAATGTCGAATAGAATAAAGTGAATTGAATGTATATTTTATGAAGTGTGTGACATTGTAATTTTGACAATTTCTATAAACTCGTGTCAGTTCAGGTGATGTAAGATCCATCCTTACACTAGCAAACCTGTCTCTGAAACTTCAATAGGTGGAGCCTGTGAACCCCAACCCTATGAGAATTTTGAAGAGTATTTGTATAGCAAGTGTGTCAACGCTGAATCGATTTGTGATTTTATAATGAATCCGGTTCATTTTTTGGTGCGGCAAGGTCAAACCAATTTGGGGTTAACAACAGCAACAACTTGCACCTATATAGTGCCCTTCACGCAGTATAAAGTCTCAGAGTTAAGGCACCTGTTTGGGCAGAACAAAGGGAACTTTACTCTGTACCTATCCATGCTATACTTAACCTAGGAGTGCTTGATGCTGACACATATCGTCCGAAGTGTGAAGTATTCCATTTATGAACCCTTAACATGCAGTAGCTCGAGTGCAAATTTCACCAAAGGGAGAAAAAAAAAGGTAAATTCAGACATGTGGCTTCCCAGTTGACAGTTGCTTGCATCGGCTTCTTAGATGTCCTCAAGACTTAATTAGTTTTGCTGTTGCTGCTCTTAATCCTTTTTTAATACCCGTTTTGAAAAAAAGAAGTTAATTTCTCCACTTTTGTTCTCCTCAACGTTCACATTCCTTTGTTGTTCCAGTTGTTGGAAAAACAAAATGATCTTTCACAATTTGAGCTATCATTAAAAATTGTGTATTGCTTTAAGCTCTGTTTACTATAATTTTGGAATTTACTGTAAATTAAGTGCGAGTTCACAGTACAGTGCCCATTCTGTAAACAGTTAAGAGTTACTCGCTGTGATCAAAGCTGCAACCAAATGCTCCCAAACTCAGTTTGTGGATTTAGGCAAAACTAAAAAGCCAATGGTCAGTATAAGTAGCTAATGTGAATCTCTTCCTGTGGCTTTACAGCACGTAAATGTTCACACATGTTGATCTGTTAACTTTAATATTGGCTGTTGCACAAACTGAATTGCCGCAAATGGTGAATCAGGAATGGTTGTGTTTTTTGGGCGTGTGTGTGTGTGGATATATATATATAGTAACCTTCTTGCTCTGAAAAGTGATATCAAAAGTGGCATGAAAAAGTTTTATCGATGAGGCTAAATTTTATTTTGAACAGTTTATCACATGGTTGTAGAACCGCTGCCATTGATTTAATGTTTTAAAAGCTTTCTGGCCCTCAAGGTTTTTTATTAAGTAAAGAACCAGACGTACTTCCATGAATGTGGAAAAACTAGCTAGGATTTCTGTTCAGTTTTATTTGACTTGGGTCAAGGATGGAGTAAAGTTGAACTGACTGTGTATCTCCAGTCTGTTAAATTGCATTGCTGTACTGCATGAAAAATTGATCCAATGCCTTTAATAAACCTGAGGCATAATACACAACGAACAGAGATTTCTGTTTGACCTGAATATGGTCTGATATGTTCCATTAGAACCACATTGCAGTTTCTGAGTGAAACCTCTTCAATTTGTTCTTTACTCGCTTGTAACCTGCACCTCTAGGAAAGTACAGTTGTGGCCTACAGAGCAAGGTGAATTGATGTTATGACCTGAGTGGAATACAAACGTTAAAATTGCAAAGAATAAAGTGGGTGTGGGGAAGGTAACACAAAGAGGAAAAGGATTCTAAAGGAAAGTTATTCAATTAAGAGTTGGACATTCCCAGTGTTAAAGAAATGAGCTCTGAACAACAATTAGAAAACCTTGGGCTTTTCAGTCACTCAATCCATGACCATTTGTGGGACACTTGGCTGCTGTGTTATGCCACAAAAATACACAACCCACTTTACAATATATTCTGTGAAGCACTTCAAGATGCCTCAACGTTGTGACAAGTCGCTGTATTAAATGTAAGGATTATTATTGTTGGAAAATAAATGTCTCAGAGGGACCTTACAAGGCATAGAACATATTAAATGGGATTGCAGAAGTAAACTCAGAACAATTCCTCCAGATGCTCTGAGACAAACCATGCATTGTGGTTTCAGTCAGTCTTACAGTACTCCCTTAGTCTACCAAAACTGGAGGGCACATCAACAATGCTATTAACATTTATTGCATAGCACTACTAAACATTAATATATGGTCATCATAGGAAACAATAATTATGCATAGGTTAACAGCAATATTAAACTGAAGCAAAAGGCGTCAATTATTGAAAAGGAGATGAGGCAAAAGTGGTGAAGAAAGGTATAGGAGAGGGGATGAGGAGGGTTTGAGGCTCATGTTGGAGTATAAACACCTGAATGGACTAGTTGGACAGAATGACCTACTTCAGTACAGTAATAGTATATGCAATTCAATTAATCTAGCAAGACACAACAACCGTGAATGATAAAACTACCAAAGCAATAATTGAAAATGCAAGTTATCTTAAGTCTGAAAACTCCGACTTAAATATTTTAATTCATTTATTAATCAACAAATGTCAACTAGCTAAGGATCGCTCAAAAAAACAAAACAACCATCCAATATCATGTTGGCTCTTTCGGGTCATGCTTTGGTTTCCCTGATATAATCAGTTCCTCTTCATTCTGGTAATATAAAAACCACACATTTTTATTTTCAAACGTTCACCACAAATTGAAAAATCACAGTCTTTGACTTGTGGACATGTCCCAAGAATAGCTACTGGATACAGTGACCAGTAAGAATGCGTTGCTGTCTTCTCTTACTCCACCAATGGTCACAACATTGGCAGAAAGCCAGCCCGTGTTGAAGGGCTCATCAAAAAAACTGTTTACAAAAAGTACCTTTAACTTTGGTGAAAGCTGGGATAGACCCACCAAAAACAAAACTCTTTGAAAATCCACTTTGGTATAATTAAATAAATGCCTTCAGAACAAAGTTTGTGAACAGAGGATCGAGGCTTTGCTTAGAATTGTTGTTTTTGTCAGGCAGGTTCACAGTGATAATGGTTTAAAAGTGTTTGTGCAGAGAACTAAAGTGAAACCCGGGTCAACAATCTCTGTACAAGAGACGTTCCTTTTTGCTGTGCAAATGACTGAAACCAAGGTTGTGCTTTTACGGAAAACATTGCAAAGACAGCATTCGAAATGTCCACCCCCAAAAATAGCCAGCTGGTGGTACTTATATTTTCAAAAATACTTTTCTTTATTTGATAACACTGCCTTTTGAACAAAAAAAATGCCTTTTCTGGCGCTACAGGAAATTCACATTTTTCATCCCTTTGCTCTGCAAATTTTTATTTGTTTGCATCGCCATCTAATCATCCTGTTCCAAGGATATCTTCCCTTAATTCAATGGCCTTTTTTTTTTGCCCCATGTGGTGTTGATGTTAGGTTAAGATTGATGTCGTACAAAAATGAGGTCTGTAGTTGAGAGTGCAGCCAAAGGTTGTTTTTTTTTATTGGCGAACAATTATGTCCATCTGGTCTCCTTTTGTGTATTATCAGAAATGGGAATAGGAGTTACGTCAGGAGATTAAGGCTTACATAACTGTGGTCTAAACAGACGGGACGATAAGGGAAGAGAACACAACTGAAACGTGAAGAAACTATCCACCCATAGGGAACGTGCATAGTTATCCAATACAGCATTATATTAAGCATTGATTTACCAGTTATACAATGTCCTACAGCTATCTGGGTATTTTCTTTGCTTCCTCACTAATGTGGGGAAGATTTATTCACTGAAATTCTGTACCTTGTAATGACAAATGTGATGATAAATTGTAGGTTTGTTTACTGAATTCAGATACATGTAGTATAGACTTGTGAAAAGGAGGGCATCTGGTTTCTGTTGTTAGACATTTGGGGAGAAATTCCTCCTTGATCTAGATTTACTCTGTTTACGTAATGTTTTAGAGGTATCCAGAATATAACAAATTGTTCGATTCAATCTTGTCTTTGAAACCACATTACTGTAGTTTGTAAAAAGCAATGTACAAAAAAAGCTTCAAAGTTAGGCTGTATTTAAGAAATTGTCGAGTTCTGGACGCTCTAAAATGTAATAATAATAATCCTTGCATTTGATATAGCGCTTTCACGTCTTCTAGACGTCCCAAAGTGCTTCACAGAATATACTGTAAAGTGAATTGACTGTATATTTGTGGGCAAACGCGGCAGCCAATTGCATACAGCAAAGTCCCACAAACAGTCAAGGATTGAAAAGGACCAATTTATTATTGTTTTTGGTTTTGGAGGGATTATTATTAGGCGTGTGCAGTAAGGAAACTTGCCCAAGGTTTCGCCCTGACCTGCCTGGAACTGAACTCAGGTCTCTCACTTGCAAAGCGAGTGCTCTAACCACTGAGCTACAGGACTCCACAAAATGTAGTAGTGATAATATTATAATAATTCTTGCATTTGATAAAGCACCATATCACATCGTCGCAATGTCTCAAAGTTTTAGTGGATTTACTGTAAAGTGGAGTTCAAACAACTCTGAATGTGAAAAGGTGGCCCTTTTTGAAAATTCTTGGGCCATCCAAAGTGATTTCAAAGAACATAAAGGAATGGGAGCCTTGTGTACTGTAATGGATGCCTTATGTAAAATCCAGTGTGTTAATACCCTCATGGCTCTGAATCCAGTTGTTCTGGAAACCACCTCTGCCAGGTGGTGTTTGGAATGGTGCTTCGGACCCTGACGCAACTGAAATGACAGTGATTTGCTGCAAAACAGGCACTATAAGGGAATTTTGTTGGATTCCAGACCAAACGCTTTTGTTGATTTTTTTTTTATTACTTCACCAGTTCCAACCCCATGTGATGAAAATAATGGAGGATGTTCCCATTTATGCCTGCTGTCCCCCAAAGAACCATTTTTCAGATGTGCATGTCCCACCGGTGTCCAGCTGGAGAAAGATGGAAAGATTTGTAAAGCGGGTAAGAATTCCCTTTTCTTTTGCTCAGCTCATGGCTTTTTGAAGACCATTGGGTCCCCACCCAAGTGTTGGCTACAATTTGGGAGAAGAGATTGTGCTTCTAATCGTTTGCCTCGTGTTTTGACAAAGCAAGGACTGAGAAACCAAATGGTCTTTATTCTACTCTTTGTGTTTAGATTTCTTGTTTCCGCTCTCTCAAGACCTTTTGCACTAACCCCTCAGGTCTTGGGACTTAATTACCGAGGACAAAAGCAAAGTTTTTTAGTTTAGCATTAAATTTCAACAAAGCTGCAGTCATTCCAAACATATATTTCTTTTGAAGTATACGTTTCCAAAGCGAAACAACAAACATTTGAGTGGATTTCCTTCTCTTCCCTTCCCCACCCCATTCCGAATAAAAAAAATGAGTTTGATGTTTTCATGACTGTGTTTACTTCATATTTAGACTGTTCTTTTTGAATAATTGTTGAAACCCATTGGCAACATTTCTTGAACATAATTTACTTGTGTGATTCTTATCTTTTTTTTGTGAATTTCCAACAGAAAGGCCTCACAAATTGTGTTTGTGTGTAATGTTGCTCATTCATAGGAATTGTTTAATCAATTAATTTATTACAATTTAAAATCCCTCTTTAGAAATGGAAATCGATTCTGCAGTGGAAACATTTATACAGTTTTATGAATTACATCTACAAAGCCCAACACCTGGCTAAATGTTCTTCTATACAAAGTGTTTTTTGTCCCACCTTTTTTGTGTGTCTGTGTGTGTGTGTGAGTATAGTAGGTTGTGAATGCTGAATGTGTGCGAGTGATCCTGAAATGCATTGGTTTTAGTGAATGCTGGTCGTTGAGAGACTAAAATTCATTGAGGCAGCAACCATCTTGAAATACTTTGCCTGTCAATGGAAAGAGGTGACCGTGCATTTACTCTGTAAACTTAATCTTCCTGTCTCATTAGTTGTAAGTTAAAACTGAGCCACAGATTCTTAAATAAACACCCATTTCGTGACACGGGCACAGAGCATATGAATTCTGCAACTCCATCCTTTTCAGGCTGTAAGCAATACAATGTCCACATTCTTTACCACACTATCGGGGTGGGAGGCATAGTTTTAGTACCATGTCGTTCAGGGTTTTCTTCGTTACACAGTTAGTGAGTGGAAGGGACAAGAGTTCCCAGCAGTGTTGACAGAGAATTTGGATGAAACAATGGCACATTGTACTAATCTGATTAGCAGACAGACAAATGGGAAAGGAATGGCATGGAGCTCTGGCAGGGCTTAGAGCGAACTGAGATTTCTTTTTTACATTTGTTTGGGTTAGGCTGATAAATTAGCGCATTTGTTACTATATTATAAACGGTCTTGTCACCTGTCAAATGTGAAGTGGTGCAGAGAAGGATGAAAAAGCACCCCTGTCAAGTTGGTGAGATGTTCTACCTTTTCCTTGTCAGCGCTGAGTGGACTTAATTTTGCAAATGTAATTCAACTGGTATTTTCAGCACCGAAGCATGACCCTTTCACAATGCAGGCTTGGTCAATAACCATTTAGATGGTTTGCACAGGCTACATTTCAAGACTAATTAATGTAAAAGTAAGCGTCCCTGTATTGATTTACTTTTTATGCAGCTGCCTGCAGAATTTATGTCTGCAATGTAAAATACTCTCTCATAGCAAGGAAAACTCACTGCTGCTTTCACAATGTTACCATCCCATTGCAATCTCCCTCCGGCACTACGTATTCAGCTTCTTTCATAGGTTTTAAAACGGGACTTGTTTGGTGCTAGTATTTGTGCTAGTATTTCATACTGGACAATTCTAATTAAATGAACGAAATATAATCTGTAGAATTCCAGCATGTATTGATGCATAAAAGTATTTGAGTTTAAGTAAATAATAATAATACTTGCAGTTGATGACTTGCACAGTCGAAGTGAATTGACTGTGTATTTTGTGGGTGAAATGGCCTTATTTCCCCCCCTGCTCTTTCCTCCACTGAAAGGATACAAATTATTCAGAGATAAATGGGGATTAAAACCTCTTTGGAACTTTAATTTCTCTGCATAATCAGACTGCCTACTGAGTGGGAAGTACAAACTTGTAATAAAATGTTTGACATTTGTCCTCAGCGCAGGCTGAAGTTGGTGTCCAACACTCCACGTCATTGGGTCTCGTTGAACTAACCTGATTGATCAGGAAACATTTCCACAGATATTCATTCGAGCAAAAAATGTATACATTTGCAGTTTCCCCAAAGCACATGTTCAAAAAGTAAAATTGATATTGAGGAGGGGTTCTGAAAATGTTCTTTTGAAGGCTTCAGCTACTTTTCAAAGGACGGCAGGTTAAGAAGACCACATGAAGCAGTATGAACTTATTATTATGCTTTGCAGTCAAAATGAAAGGATTATTATTATTTTATGGTGTCTTTCAGTTCTTCAGTGTTACCTCAGCTCACATGCTTCTCTTCTTCCAATGGAGGGTCAGAATAGTCTTCAATATTGTATTCTTCAATGCTGTACTTTAATGGTAGTTTATTAAACCACAGTGAATGGGTTTTAATGTTCGAGCCAAAGGCCCTTCAGATGTTCAATATCAAAACAAATAAAAGCCATTAGGTACCAGTTAGCGATCTGTAGATGTACAGGACTCACCCAAAGTTCTGGTAACTAACAAAAACAGCAACATTTTAATGTCTACTTTCATTCCCAAATTATATTGCATTAAAATGAATTGCAAGAAAATTGTGTAAAGGCTTAACCTAATGTTTAGTTTCAGATAACCATAAATTTGAGCTCCACTTTCATGTATTGATATAATTGGAACTCCCTCCATTGGGCTGGGCTCTTGTAACTCATTACCAATCCATTATACTACACATCACTACCAGAGTCTGCAATCTTCACTTTCTTAATTCGACCCAAAAATTTGATTTAAAAAATGTGCGCTTGTGTTTTCGTTTAAGCAAGCAATCGTTCATGTTTATACACCCTGTCATTGGTCTTGGAAAAAGAGTTTAGTGTTGTGTTCAATCAATTTTGATGTCATCGTTGATCCAAAGCAGTATTACAGAATGTATTACACTTTTATATATGTTAATCAGCAAAACCACCAATTGTTCAATGAAAATGTCTTGAGCAGTTTGGCTAAACAGAAGTACTATCCATTTGCCTCAGGCAAGCAGACAGTGGGTAATTTAGAACCTAATAAATTATAATAAACATGGGTGAATGATCACTTCATGGTTCACACCATATAAAGCATTCTGGACGGATGTGCTGCTGCCCTTATTGTTTCTGTGTTCTATGACTTTCAAGATCACCCCGATCCCTTCCAGCTAGTTGGTCGAGTATTTGAACTGAGTAATTATTGCTATAAAAAAAAACTCACTTTCATCTTTTCCAGCATAATATATCACAAAACAAATAATTGTCATGATAAAAGGGTAGCGGTGAGTGCAGAGAGGAGACGTGTTGATGCTGTTTTGTGAAATGCTGCTCACGTTATAGAGTGCAGCAAAGGCCAAGGTGCTTACAAATGCTGCTGCCATACTTCTTTTTCAAAACCTTTTGATCAAACATTATTTTTAGAATTATTTAAATGAAACTTTGATGAATAAGGAGTTCAGAATAGATGAAGGTCGGATGATTAATGGTGGGGTTGTGAAATTGTGTCCTGTTGAGTAAACTCTGGCATAATAATCCTATCAAAAATATGATCTTAAACATTTTAATGAGGAATCTTATCACTGTGTTAAATTGTTGTGTGCGAGTTGGGACGGGGGGAAGAGATTGACTTCGGTGGGAGGTGGGGGGCGAGCTGGAAATCTTAGTGAGTCCCAACAATCCACTTCAGCCTGTTTGTTACTTTGACTTAATTTTCTTCATTCAGATTCTTGATTCTGTGACATATTGACTCCTCATGACCAGCGAAGCAAGGTCAACACTTGCTTGTTTTGATATAACTACTTGATCAGTCTGCCACGAGACAAATAATTGCTTTCATTAATGCCCGAATTGTAGATCAAGACCCTTCTCTCTCTGAATGACGTTTTAGGATGCCTTGTCTGTTCAATATTGTTGACTTCTATCCAAATGAGGAGGAATGGGGGGGGGGAGCTCCGTGTTTAATGTATTTTTAGTTTTGAGCTCAAAATTTGCCTGGTCTTATCTGGGTTTGGCACAAAATGAACAAGATGGAAAGTCAATGTTTTGTTGTTTAAATGGTCTTGATATTTAGCTCCGGAAGTAATATCTCTTATGTCTTGCATTAGGTGCTGAAGAGATTTTACTGCTTGCCAGAAGAACAGACCTAAGACGCATCTCCTTAGACATGCCAGATTTCACAGATATCATTCTTCAGCTGAATGATATTCGGCACGCAATTGCCATAGACTATGATCCCGTCGAGGGTTACATTTACTGGACCGATGATGAAGTCCGAGCCATTCGACGTGCGCTTCTTGATGGCTCGGGGGCCCAGACATTGGTGACAACTGAGGTTAACCATCCGGACGGGATCGCTGTCGACTGGATCGCTCGAAACCTTTATTGGACTGACACAGGCACTGACCGGATTGAAGTGACCCGGCTCAATGGTACATTTAGAAAAATTCTAATATCCGAAGGTCTTGATGAGCCTCGAGCAATTGTGCTCAATCCAGTCACTGGGTATGTATGGAATAACTTTACTACGTAGTTCTTTCAGTGTGCAAACTTAGTCACACATAAAATGCATTGTGTCTTGTACAATGCTTGGCATTATTTACGGCCAACAGCCACCTAAGATTTTTTTTTCGCTGTTTCACATGCAAATGCTGAGATTCTGTGGCTGATGTTTATTTGTCAGCAAAATCCCTGTGTCTCTATTAAGAAGAAACCGCTGCAAGTGTATCATCGCTGTTTAGTTCAAAAAATGTACTGTTGTATTTTAAAAATTGATACTTATGTTTTTTACAGCTATATGTACTGGACGGATTGGGGTGAAAATGCAAAGATAGAACGGGCAAATCTCGATGGATCCAAGCGAATGATTTTGGTCAACACATCCCTGGGTTGGCCCAATGGCCTGGCTTTGGACTACACAGAAAACAAGCTTTATTGGGGCGATGCCAAAACAGACAAGATTGAGGTATGTTGTGAAGGTTGGTTATGTGAGGTGGTAATGTTGATAATCCCAAAATGATGATAACATCTGAGGTGCGGATTTTTTTTGCTTCAAGACCATTTGTACCGCTTTTATTTTGTTAGTTTGCCTGTGCAGGCAAGCCCGTCTGTGAAGACGGATGAATTTTTCCACCACCTCGTGGTCAGATCGTCATTGTGTTGCAGGCTCCTTCTCTCCCTTGGGAAACAAAGTGTGTGTATGCTACATATTTCCAACCTTAGACTGGGTGTCATCTATATAATCTGCTTTATACTCAGTACATTAACGATCCACCGGTATTATTCAGTGTGTTCAATGACTGTTCTCTTTCTCTCCCCCACCCCCCAATTCTCTCAGCATGGTCCAGGGTTGATTTCATTCAGATATTTTATAATAATAATAATCCTTGCATTTGATATAGCGCTTTTCATGTCTTCTAGATGCCTCAAAGCGCTTCAAACTGTTTTGTGCTCAACTGTACTCTATAACTGAATCACATGGCAAGCTGAAACCTTTTTATGATTATCACTTGCATTTCACCCATGGATTTAGTTTGGGTAGAGGGATTTTAAGATTTTCAGAATTTTCTCCAAAGTGCCGAGGCGGAATTTCTGGAGGTTGGCGTGTGTAATATTTTTAACCTATTAAAGTTAACAGTCAGTATTGTAAAGTGGATTACAGGTTTAGTGTCAGGCAAAGTTGTAGGCATGTGTGTGTGTAAAATTTCATGCAGTGAGACCAGCAGTTATTTTTCCTGGCAGGAACCTTTGCATCTGTGCTGTTCACAAAGAGCCCAGTCACTTCATTAAAATCTTGTATTCTGAAGAAGCCATTTGGCACAGCTCATCAAACCTTTCGTGACAGCAGACTATAGGGCTTTCCCTAAAGCTTTGGCACCCTGTGGTAACATTGTTTGCAACTGAAAAAACCTTTCAATTTGGCAGAGACTGAAAAAGAGTGCCATAAATGAAGCGTATTAAAATTTTGCACGGCTTGTGTTTATTGAACAACTAACAAGTTGAGACAAAATTGTTTTTTTTTAAAAATTGCATCTGTGTGGAAAAGGGATACTTTTTGCAGGAGCGAGATATTGTTTTACAAGGATTAGGCTTCCAGTAACACAGATGAAGGGAATAGACTTTTTTTTCGTAATTCTGCATAGCTCATTATCCCCCTCACCCCTTGTTTTATCACTAGTTTTCCATTATCATTTAACCCTTGCTCTATGAGTGTTTGCTCCAAGTCATGGCTCCACCCCACCTCCGCACTGCACCTTCAAATCCAGTTATTGAGAGACAATATCATTAATTTTTCTCATATAAACAAAAGATAGTTGAATCTGTAGCTCCATAATGAGTTGTGTGGCGGTGTGAAAGTCCCAGCTATGAGCTGTGGAAATCTACCTCGTGAGGATGTCACGATTTGCTGCTGTTGGAAAAAAATTGTGTGGTTCGACCTGTACCTTTTCAGCTTGATCCGAGTCAAAATGTAGCAGACCTGAGTGTGATCTGCATCCCTCTTGATGTGTGAAAACCATTTCATGCTGGAGTAGTAATGGAAATAGTTCTTTTAAACGTGCGCATTTCAAACATGGCATTACCAAATTTTAAATGCCACCAAAAGTGAAATGTACACCGAAGGCAAAGGTTCTGAATTCCTGATCTCAGACAGGACAACGGTAGGGATAGTGCAATTGGGCTTTGCCCCCTGGGTTATTGGAAGGGGAAAATTTAGGCACGGTTTTCCCCTCCTGCTTGTGCCCTCTCTTCTGGGATGATCAGTTTATATGGGTGCTGGGTGAGGACAGGATTGACTTCTGTTGATTTAGTCTGTCAGCACTTGGCAGGCAGTCTGAATAGAGCATTGCGTTCTGGAGTTAAATTAACTTGCTGCTTCAGCTGTTGCAAAGTGCTGCTGTGATGCCTTGTGTTACAGAACAGTCCAAATATGATAACAACGGCAATTGCTTTCAGTTCTGTTGGTTTATTGGGAGGAAGAACTCCCATACTTTGCTTCAAAGTTATAAATTAAGATGAATATATACAGCAAAGCCAGCAAATTTACATGATCATTCCCCATGATGCTATCTGGGCCTATTCCATGCTGGTGTCGTTCAGATGCTTCATATTCATTAGCGTACAACATACAGTGACTCCACTCTACAGTAATTGTGTGAAGCATTCCGAGATGTCCTGATGTGGATCAAGTATAAGCATTATTATCCTTCCCCATAAGCAGCCAGGTATCTCAGTTCATTGGCAGCAATGGTGCTTTGCATCAGTGATTTCAGTTTTGTCGATGCTCCAGGTGCTGGAGCTTCCCAAACCCTCAGTGTGTGCGTCAGGTGACTTCTTTTCTTTGCTTAAACCTTGTGTGATTGCCTCCTGATGTGCTGTATCAGGCAGTGACGAGCATATGTCTCCAACCTCAATCTTCTACATATTGTTCCCCATATTGGCTGTCCACAGGGAAGAAAGTCAGAGGATCCCTATATCTCTGGCAGCTAGTTTCAGAGTAGCATTGTCTGAGACCCGAGAGCGAGTTTCCAGCCCCTCTCAGTTTTCTGCATGGCATAGGAATACAAAAGGGAAAAAAACAGGGAATTATTTTCCTTACATTTACCATCTTGATGACATCTGCTTGAACTCTGATTTTCCTATTATAAATCTCCATTGCTAAGGTCTGTAAACTTTCACAACCAGCAGAAAATTTCATCCAGGAAATTGAGCCTCAAACAGCCAAGAAAGAGATCCCTAATTATGGAGTTTGCTGGACTTTGCTGGATTCATCGATACCATGCAATCACTAAGGAACCAAGCCATTCTTGTAACCTCTGGGTATGATTGTCAGTCTGTGTAGTGGAGGGGGCTTTTTTTTATTATTTGCTGTGGACAAACCAAGTGCTCAAGACACATTCCACATGTGAATGGTAGATTTTATCCCATCATGAAAGTCAGAGGAGCTCCATCAGAGATGGTTGCTATAACCCGCGGCTACATTTTGAACCAATTTACTTTTTTTAAACTTGTAATGAAATTACCAATTTAGAGCTATATCGGAACTGATAAAATGGTCTCAGGTTTTGAGAGGCAGGTAGATGGAGTAACGTTGTTTTGTAACTTTAGGTGTGAATTTTTAATTCAAAGCATTTAAACAGAAACCTAGCGATTCGGCATTCAAGGGATTATAGTTCCAAACTGACTTCAAATTGAAAGGAAATTGTTTTGGTTTTAGCTATTGTGTTCTGATGGATTTGTGTAGTATCTGACTTTTAACCTCACATCTGAAAGCTTTAAAAACAAAGCTCTGAAAGAGTGGTCTTTCAGTGAAGAAAAAAACATTGCTACAAAATAATACTTTAGCCTAATTATTGGGACTGAGATTCTGAAAATTGAAAATTCTGTTTTCGATTTTGCAATCTAGTTTGTGACTGTTCATATTCTTACAGGCCATTTTGTTTTAGAAACTTTAAAATCACGACAAAACCGGCTCTTTCTTTCTCTCTCTCTCTCTCTCTCGCCCCCATTACAAAGTAGCACTTTGTGTTTAACAGTCTCTCTAAGTGCGATGTTAGTAATGCACATTCCTCTTTTCATTTTAGGCTTTGTTGAAGCCAAATGACATTAGTGCTCAATCATGGCCCCAGAATGAAGCTCGTCTTTCAGGGCTTTTGATTGACCGGCATGATTCTGTGGGAAAGGAAGCTGTCCTTTTCTTAACGGGAGGTGACCCTCACCTTCTACTCGAACAATGAAGACATAATGGGGGCCTGATTGGGACTTATGAGAACCCCCACAGTGCGCCACACACTCCTTTTGGCAGAAGTGTCTCGCACTCGAACTTCCATTTGACAATCTTTCTTTCACCGTTCCTTTTCAAAAGAGCCCTTCAGAGCTGTTAGATTGTGCTGCTTTTATTCAGAATCCACTCAGATAAATAAAATTAAAAAAAAGCTCAAGTGCTAATCTTTAACAAAACTAACAATTAAAGGCAATTAGCGTGACTATTCTTTTCAGACTAAATTTTCCAACCAGTAACCTGCAGAAGCATTGTGATTTAATAATTGTGCAATAAAATAAAGATGTACATGTTTCTCTTCTATAGTTTTGGAACACTATATATCTTTATAGTATTTGGTGTCAGAGATAAAATAAACATCAGGTCTGCTGATTGAAGGTTTCTGAATATGTCTTGTGGCATTTGCAATGTGCCTATTGACTGCCTGAATGACTATAAATGGAAGACTTGGGAGTGTAGCTCTCCTCCCAGACACTCTGTGGGTCACAGTGAAAGTTGCTCTCTAAAAGAAACCTAGTTTTATATGGCAAACTAATTATCCGTTTTACATTTTTCCTCTTTCAACGTTGAGAAAAGGGAACTCTGATCTTAAATTTCATTTCAAGTTTTGTGTACCACCATATTTTGGGTTTGTAGATTGTTATGTCAATACACCGTGTAGGGAAATATCCAGATCTGCCCCTTGTTGGTTTCTGCCGAGTTTAATTTGATTTCCTGGATGGATGTGTGTAGTGCAGCTTGAGCAAACTTTGCTTCTTAATGTTTGCCATTGAAAGCTTGATTTCTGGCTTGCTTCCAAAAATTGCTCCTTTCATCTCTCCTTCCATATTTTGGAAATCAGACCAAATTAGTGGTATTCAGGATTCAGGGTTTTCAAAGAAGAACCAGGATTGTGGTCATTTGTGTAATTTGTGTTTTTTTTCTCCCTTGTCAAATTCACCTACTTTTTTAAAAAAGCCTCTGATCTTGCCTGACAAAACAGTGTTTCTCAATAGTGCAATTTTTTCAGATTCTTTGGAGATGCCGTACTCTTAAGTTCAGTGCTCTCCTTTAGTGAGCGTTACAGCAGCATGGTGTCTGACGTAGTCTCATTAAAGTTTTGTTCTCCATCAATTACAAAACTTCAAGGGAAAAGGGACCGTAGGCCAAGGAGAAAGGAGGAGCAAGTACATTCAATGTTCAGCACT